GAACAACACCATCTATACTCTATATACCTCAGTTTAATCTATGGTGGGATAACGTGAGTGCTTCCTTTCATTTATTAATTTTTCAAAATTGATTCTAATTAAGTATTAGCTCAAATGAATGCACTTGCTTAAAAGTTTATATTTGTTTTCTGCGTGTGGATATTTCAGATCTAGTTTGTTAGCCTATTTCTGTCCTTTCTTTTGTTTACTGAGTTTGATTTATTTGGTGGTGCAGGCACATGAACAGCTAAGGGCTGTTCTGCTTACTCTTTTAGAAGAGTTGCCTTCAGACTTACCTATATTGTTACTTGGAACATCCTCAACTTCACTTGCCGAATTTGACGGGAACCCCTACTCAGTATTTCCTCAGCGTAGTGTGTATGTCTAACTAACCCTTAAAGTGACCTTTTATGCATTTCTACCATTCTTTTTTGTGATTATTTGGGTGTCATTTTTTACCATAGGCAATTATTGTTCATAATCTGAGCTGGTTATTGCTATCACCATTAAGTTTTGGTTTTCAGTAAATATACCCTTATTGGCCTTTCTTGCAAGCAACAGATCTTGTTGAGGCATCACATAACAAAATGCAGTCCAAGTGCATTCTCTTTTATGCTAATATGACATGTGGAATATCATAGATTCACATATTATTTTTATTATTATTATTATTATTGTTATTTGTTTTGGGAATTCCTTGTATGAATAGAATGATATTCCTGTATTGCTTTTTTTCTGTTTTGTCTTCTGTTTTGCTAATATTGATGAACAGGACTTTTTTACCCACTTCGTCCTAGGTATTTATTTTCTTGTCTTTTTAAAACTTAGTTCAATAGTCATGTATTTAACTTTTATTTGTCAGCTATCCAGTGGAAAAACCATCGACTGAAGACAGATCTTTGTTCTTTGGCCATTTAATTGAAGCTGCATTGTCAGTATTGTTGGAGGCTATGACCAAAAAGTCCCAAGAATCAGTATCTCTTCCTGAACTTCCCAAAGTTCCGAAAGTGGCAAGTGGACCAAAGGTCTCAGAATTGAAGGCCAAAGTTGAAGCTGAGCAACATGCTCTTCGCCGCTTACGGATGTGCCTTAGAGATGTTTGCAACCGGTAAAGTTACCATAGTTCAATCAGAAACTATTATGTTTTCTAATGTAATCTTTAACTCAGGTGTCCTTTCTTTTATTGTTCCCCTGGCCCTTTCATCCTGCCTCGCTATTTCTTTCTTTTGGAAATGGAATCACTGTGGAGCATAATTCAATTGATTTACTGAAATTTAGAACAAATAGTTGTGGGAACCGGAACTCATGTTTTAATGCTCAGTTAGAATTCTGCAAATCAAAAACCTTTAAATAATATTGGAAGAAGACCTAAAGTTTTCCAAAGAATTATCCAAGGCATATTAGGTGTTTTTCTGTAAATATGTTCAGTCAGGTGACCTTGAGAGAAATTGTTAAGGAAATAAAAACTTGTGAAAAAAAAATTATAACCATGGAAAAAGAAGAAAAGAGAAAATCAATCTTTAAACATGCTGTAAAGCTGGGGTCTTGTTTATCACTCCCCATTGCAGTGTGGTTTTTGGCTCTTTGAATTTTCATTGTTGAATCTTTCCAAAGTGGTTCATGGATTTGTTTTGGGTCGGATGATCTTCTTCTTTGCATGTGACTTTATTTAATTACATATATTTATTACCCTTTTTTAAGCCTGCTTTATCTCCAAAGTTGATATAGTGGAGAAAACCTCAGGATTTCAAAGAAGATGACTTCTAGGATGGGCTTGTAGGTTTTAATTTATTGTTGATTGTTGTTATCTTTATAAGCTTACGAAATCAAGAAATTTAGGCCTACTCATGACTAAAAAAGGATTTATTTGGCTTTGTAATTTTTGCATCTTTATTAAACTGTTATTAAGTTTTATAGACAATGGTTGATCATGTTGCAGGATATTTTATGATAAAAGATTTAGTGTCTTTCATTACCCAGTCACCGATGAGGACGCACCAAACTACCGCTCGATAATCCAGAACCCTATGGACATTGCTACTCTGTTGCAGCGGGTTGACTCTGGGCAATATCTTACCTCGTCAGCTTTTGTGCAAGATGTTGAACTGATTGTAACCAATGCAAAGGTGTGGATTTGTCAAATCCTAATTTTGATCTCTTCTGATTTCCATTTTTCCTTATTTTAAATTAGTTGAACATGTACCTTGCTACTCACGGATGATGGTGTTCTGAGCATTGTTTTTTCTTGGCCAAGTGTACTGAGCATTGTTTGGAGGAAAACATTTTCACGTGTATGAATGCTTCTAGGAAAAAGTGGGGGAAATCTGCTTGCTTAGGATTTGTGGTAGGCTAGATTCCCAGGGCAGAAAATTTTGGGATTTTAGAGTTTATTGTTATATTTAGAGGCTCAAATTGATTGGGATTTAAGGGCAAAAGAATGACTAGCAGCAAGGAAAGAGATTCCAAAGAATTTTTGTCAGCAGCAAGGTTGTGGTTTTGGAATGAACTATTCATTGGAAGGATAGAAAATTTACAAATGGTGTGCTGACAATTCGTGCATAAGCCATGTCTTTGTATTGCAGCTTTGGATTTTTAGCACAGTGGATGCTTTTTTCCTTTTTCCTTTTTCCATTGTACTCTTGTCATGTGACCAAGCACAAATTCACCAACCAACTTGATTATCTCAAAGGTTACTACTATATATTTCAGTTCTAGGTGCTAAGTCTGAAAATATATCAAAAGACTTTGTAATAAATATTGTCTTATTAACTTCTTTTTTGTCTTGTTCCCAGCTGTAAGATTTCCTGTGCCTGATTTGTTTGCTTCCTGAATTTCAGGCTTATAATGGAGATGATTATAATGGTGCTAGAATTGTTAGTAGAGCTTATGAACTACGGGATGCAGTACGTTCACTTGCCCTTTTCCTCCAGAGTTTTATTCTCATTTGTTGGCGCTCACCTTTTACTTTCTTTTTATAATATTTTAATTTCTTTTTTATCAGGTACATGGGATGCTGTCACAGATGGACCCTGCATTGGTTGCTTATTGTGACAAAATTGCTGCCCAAGGGGGTCCAGCTCATATGCCAGATGATCTAGGGCTGTCTGCTATCCCCTCAATACCTGTTGTGCAGCTAGGAACTGTCACTCGAGCAAGTGCCCGACTTCGCAATCTTCAAAGCTATGAGGCTTTGAAAAGGCCAAAGAAGAATGCCGAAACTGCCCTTGCAGGTATTTTGATGTCTGTTATGTGTGTATGGTGTATACATGGATTAGCCGACTCTTGTTTGGTGTATGTTGAGGTGTATGTTGAGGTGGGTTTTAGGCTTTAGTTCATAACATATTTTGTTACCAAGAATTGGATTTAGTTTTCTCAATTGTCAACCAATACCAGGATAGGCATCTGTTTATATTTTGAAAGGGCTTTTCCCTTTTAAAATTTCCATTCAATCTTAAATCTGGATCATTAAGGTCACATCTTGGAATCAGTTAGAACCAGAACGTACTAGTCTACAGGCTCTGAAAGCAGCTCTTTCTGGGATATTATTAACATCTAGTATGCATATATACCATTTATAGGGAAAAAGAATTTGGTGCATAGATTTTGGTTGATGATTTCTTTCTTGTATCTTTTGTCTGCTCTTTAACATTTGAGTATCTTAAAAGGTAGAAGATTTTCACTTTATGATTTTGATCACCATGGATATCAATTTAGGTATCTCACTTCAATGCATGGTTTTGAATTTTGTTCCCTATCCTAATTGTATGAAGTGATGAATATGTAATTCATCACTCTTCAAACTCCACCTACCAAAGGGTGGGTAGAGTGAATGAATTACAAACATAAAAGGGTAAGACCCATTTGTGAAAATCATCCTGTTTACTTGCAAAGGTTTTTGCATTAGCCAATCATGCTTGCAGACGGTCTACTTCAAATCCCACAGCTGCAGATGGTTTGAAAATGTTTTCATGTTGTTGAACTTAAAACAGGAGTTTGTATCTGCCTTTTACTTATTCCTAACATGAGATGAGAATCGATAATGGCATGAATCCCTGTCTACCCTCAGCCCACCATACCGTCTTTCTGATGTTTTGTGTCTTGATAATTATCATCGTTTGGTAGTTTCTTTGATCATCCTAGAGTTTCTGCATCTTCTATAACGTTTATTCAACTGTTGGTCCTTCTTTTCTAACTTTGGTTAGAAGTTTTACGATGGAATGACTAGTTATCTGATCTGTGCTGCAGCAGAAGACAAGTCACAGATGGCAGATTCGGTACAAACAAAGTCATCTCAAACCCTAGAGGTAAACGAGATAGACTGTGAGAGGCCTGAATCTACTTCCGGTGGTGGCAATCTGCAAGAAACTTGTACAGAGGCTTCTAATCTGATTGATGTGAATGGATGCCAGGACGTTGGAATGTCAGATGGCGAGATTTCAAACCAAGTGAAATCCGCCACGCAACTGTTTGTGGAGCGGACTGAAAACTACGGTATTCCCGAGCTTGAAAGGCTGTACACACGTATTATCAAAGGCATTTTTGAAACGAGGGACAAAGGAGTTGGAGATGATCCTAAGCTTTCATTTTTTAAGTTTTTATTGAAATTTGCAGAGGACGAGGCAAATTTCTGATCTCCAATGCCTCACGGGAAAGGAAAAAAAAAAAAAAAAGAACAAAAAGAAAAAGAAACCATTTTAGGTAGTTGATGTAAAGTCGGGATTTTCTTTTTCCAATTCATATTATTGAGTGAAGGCAATCTCTCTCTCAAAAAGTAGGCGTTGCATAAATTATGAACATCTTAAGCCATATTTTGATGTTGGTCAATTTTTTTTATTGCTTTTAGGATTATATTTTTATCATCCAAATTAAAATTTTAATATTTAATTATTAAAATTAAATATTCACAATACAATTATTTTTATGTCTAATAAATAATTACATGATTAATTAGATATTTATTAGTTTATCTTAAAATCGTCCAATCAATCAAAATATAACTGATGTAGCTATTTAGAGCAAACTTATTTAAATCCAAGATAAGTGTAGAAACTGGGTATCCCCAAATTCAAAGTAGCATTAAAATCCGTGAATTTGCATTGTATTGTAAGCCTTATTTTTATTTGTTTCTTTCTTACCATAAATTAAACGAAAAAGAAAAATCTTTCTAAACCACAGACTCTAGAAACTTCAAGAAAAAAAAAAACTTTACATCAGCAAATCGCATCCAGTCGTTTCCAATCAATCCGCGATTTGGCGCGACCGAACACATAATCAAATTAAAATAGTAAAAAATTAAGAAAAAAAATAACATATCATTATATAAAAACCCATTTTAGTGTTCATTTCATCGTCGAAGTAACTGCTGCAATTTGTTCAGAGCCTTATTTTGCAAAAGGAAAGGATTGTTGGAAACTGGCAAATTCTGGATATGGCAGTTGTTGCAGGGACAGCAACGACGGCTTCTTTGACTCTGGTGAAGCTTCAATGTCTCCCGTCAGCTCCTTCTTTGAGGAAATTCTGGGGTGGGAGCGAACACCCAGGAGGAAAATTGGGTGTGAAATTTATGGGTGTAAAAGCGAGGTTTGGCTCTTTCGAGAGTGGCGGTGCTGCTGTTTTGGAACGACCAAGTTTTGATCAGTCCCAGTTTGAACCTTCTACTCAAGTGCTCGAAGGTCAAATTCCATTTTTTTTTTTTTTGAGTTTTTCCTGCTAAAGTTTTCGTTTTTTTGTTAATAGAAGCTATAAAATGGGAATTCCTGATTTGGGTTTTTTTTTCTTTGATTTGTTATCCTTTTCTCTTCTTGGTGAGACTGTTTAATCGAAATCTTTGTTTTTTGTTTTTTTTTTTTTTTTCTGAATCAAGGACTATGGTTTTTGTGTAATCGAGTAACTTTTAACATAATTGCTGGTTAGAAGGAAAAGACAGACAAGATTGGAAAGAAAAAGAAAAGAAAGACTCGGTGGAGTTCCCTTTTTAGAAATCTTCCTAATTGAAGAAACTGAAATTAAAGAGCTGGGGATGTTTTCCTTTATGATGTACGGTTCCATTTCCGTATCATGCTTCAATGTTCTATCATTTTTCTTTTTAATGCAAAGTATGGATACGCAAAGTATGAATCTTTAATCTTTTTTTATTTGGTTTGATATTAGTGCGACACATATAACTTTCCTGCCTTGTTATCAGTGAATTGTGTTAGGCTGGCTTTGTTTCATTTTCAATGGAAATTATGTTAATTAAGATATTAGCACTTGAAAAGTAACTTTCTTTGAGCAAAATATGAACTATTATTACTTGGCTACAGCCTACAGCCATAGATTGATTCTTCACCAAGTTGGCTTAAGCTGAGCCCTTGAAAATTGGACTCATTTGCAGTCCCATGGGTGTATCTATATATGTGTGTTGGTGTGTTTTTATGTTTGTGTGGAGTTGGATCAAGTCAGTCTTCTTTGTGTTTGTTTAGTTGGGTATTTTTGTGTGTGGCTGTACGATCATGAAATGTTGATGTACTCTCACGTCATTATTGATCCAGCTCATCTAAAATTACCTAGATTAAGCGACAAAATTTGTAATTATCTTAGTCAAGAAATTGCAAAACTAGTTAATGGAAAAAAGGGTTTCGTTTATGCTATGTGATGCCTGTGATGGAAACTCATTTGCTTACTATGTTTATTTCTTGTGATCACAGGTGGTGATATTGGGCGCTTGAGGGATAAAAAAGGTACTGGCAGTGGAGACAGTTATAGAGTTTTGCTGGTTGATGATGCTGGTCATTCTGAAAAAATTAGGTAATTTATTTGCTCAACATTAAGCATGTGTGAAAATATAAATAGGTGATGTCTAGAAGTTAATAATCTAAATTATATGGAAACCATGTGTCTCACCACTCTATTGAACAAACTAAGTAGTTAAAAGATTAGTCTTATTAGGCAATTGATCATGACATTGCCACCACTTTGTTTATTATATTTACATTTTTATTGATAACTTTATCTTGTCTTGTGTTTGTTATTCTCTTGCAGTTGTGAAGGTTTTGCCCCAAGTTGTTCCATCTGTTACACCTGATAATGCAAGAAAACTGTTTCATGTATCACGAGAAAATGGAGTGGCAGTTGTAATTGTAACAGTTAAGGTATGTTTTTTCTTTGGCATCATGAAATTTATTTCTTTCATGCTGATATTCATTTAAGCCTACCACTTGTGTGTTTAAGTCTATTTGTCAAGGCCTATGTTCATTAATAAACTTGTATTTTTTTTTCTATTTGTCAAATGAACATACGGAGTTTGTGTTAAGAGTTGAGTATGCAAGCATCTAGTTTACTATTGCCTTTAAGTGGTCCTGAAATATTTTGCTCGTCTAAATTCAAACGAGGCCAAGTTGCACCCCTATCTATCCTTTGTTTATTTCACACGTGTTTGACTTCTGCTTTTAAACGCCTATTAGTCAGATAAAGCAGACGCTTCAGAGAATATGCTAGTTCCTTGTTTTAGGGAGATCCTACCATAAATATTCAATTTTAAAATGCAGTATGCTAGTAAGCTTCCATTTGCTCATGTGCACCTTCACACAAAGGCACCATGCTCACCCTTTCATTTCCTTGAACAAATGTTATTTATGCTTTTTGAATATGAATATTTCTTGGATATTTGGTCAACATCTTAGGGTGGTTTTGGTTGTTTGTTATTTTTTCTTGTCTCTTATGTCAGCTATAGTTGTACTTGTTGCATAAATGATTTGCAATAATTAAGCAGCTGTCTTGTTATTAACAAGTTTAAAAATTGCTTATCTCATTGTTTCTTATGCTAATAGTGAAAGATCAGCTCAATGAGTGATTGTCTTATAGACAGATGCAATCTCAGCGTCTAAGTGATTCACTAGCTAAAGGTTTCCTAAGATGCATTTATCATTTTTGTTTGCCATAGAGACACAGATCTTTTTATCAATCACCATGTTATTGGATGTACTGAATATTTAGCAAAATGACAATAATTTTCTCTATATAAGATTCATGTAACATGATAAATTACTCTCTTTGGATATGCAGAAAGCCCTGAAATGGGGTTTTGAAAATTTATGAATAAATACCTGAAATGGGGTTTTGAAAATTTATGAATAATTACTAACTGGTTGATGTGTTTGCATTAGTACTTTGGCTGAACTTTCTGATTGATGTACACATGAAATTAAATTGCATAATGTTAACACGCATGTATTTGAATCACTAACCCCCTTTGTTCTACATATGAGTAATTTCTATGTAAATTTAATAATTTCCATGTTAGCTCCCTCTCCCTGCAAGTCACTGTTAAAATGAGTAAACAAATTTATGGAACAGTCTTCTGAAGATTTCAATGGTAATTAAGTATGATGAGGAGTTAAAGTGACTTAGATTTCTTAGTTTTCTTGGGAGCATGATGGTAAAGTTTTGTCTTAAATATAGCACAATTTGCTTTGTTCATCCTTTAGATGGATACTGATAAAACATAGTTCAAAAGGCCAAAAAACAATATAAAAGATTGTTACCTAAGATGTTTGAAGCAATTACGAAATCCTAATTTGTCTGTTGTAGTAACGTCCTAATTTTCCTTGTGATTCACATGGTTGGAACCTGTTCTCCCATTAGACCGTAAGTTGTGGGGTGAGACTCGGCATGCTTGAACTTTCAAAATACATTAACTGTAATGGCATCAATATTGTACTCACCAACTCTATATGTTGTTTTGCAAGCGTTGAATTCTAGTGATTAAGACCTGTTATGTCCGTGTATATCTTGAAATGAGTGATGATCTGTTTATTTACCTTAATTGACAGGAGCATGCTGAATTCTATTCGCAAATGATGGTGCATGGTGGATTACGATCAACTATCGAGCCAGATTCAAGTGTAATGTAAAGCTGACAACTTTATATCATATGAACTGCAGCAAGCAAGACTTAGCATTGACAATTTTGCAAATTCAAGACTCCATTATGAGAACTTCGATGACTCCAAGTTCAATACAACAGTTAAAAGAGTAAAGATTTTGTAGTCTGCGGTTTAGTTAACAGACAGCACGCGGAAGGATCAAGTCTCTTACCCCTTTGTTTTGGTCTTTGAGAAACAATTCTGCTCTAGCTAATTCCCAAAAGGCCACCAACTTTCATTTTCTTCTCTTTGGATTCTTCTGATATGAATTTCATTTTCTTTCTCTATGTTTTTCTTCTTTCGGCATTCAAAAACTTTTACCCACCTGGTTTGAAATCTACCTCTAATATTTTAAGAAAAAAAATAGTTTAATTATCAGCCTCTTAATTTAAATCTCAATTTATAGTTGCTACTTTCCTCAACTTTTGCATTGTTATTTCGAGGTTTTTTTACGTGACACTCTAATTTTATATTGAAAAATTTTTAAAAATATTATAATATATAAGTGAATGTTTAAATTCAAACTTGCGAGATATTTTTTATGAAATAAAATTATAAAATTTTTAAGTTAAAATAAATAATACTTCATAGCTAAAATATAAGTCACAATAAATGATATCAAAGTGATTATTAATCAGACGAGATTTAAGTGATATATCGTAAAAGTTATTTTTAGAATTTTGTAAAAGTTAATGCTGCACGATAAAAATCACTTTTAAAATCTTAACATTTAGTATGATTTTATGTGCAGTTTATTTTTTATGTTAGATTTAATGAGAATGTCAAATTTTAATAAAAAAAAATTATAATACCTTAATTTCATATCGAAAAATTTTAAAAATATATTATAATATATAAATAAAATTTTGAATCTTGTTAAATATCTTTTATAAAATAAAATCATAAGACCCTTGAATCTTACGAATCTACACACTTGATGCATGTAATTTTGGAATACATAACCCGATGTAATCCCATTTCATGTCATAAATTTTAATTTATTTATTAGAGGTGAGCATTGTCCGGATGAACGATGCTAAGTTGAAAAGAAAATAACACGTATCTTTGAATTCAAAAGATCCTTTTTACTGCTTAAAAAAGTGAAAGTTTTTCACTGCTTGATATAAGGGTAGATAAGGCACATTAAATAAAATTTAAGATTAATATTTGTTCAATTCATTTTTAATTAATATTTATTTTTATAATTAATTTAAAATAATTAAAATTTCAATAACAAATTTAATTATTGAAAGTGCACTATTCTCCTATTCAGATTAAGTAATAAAACTACACTTTAAGTAATAAAGATAATCTTTCCCCTAAATTTAAAATGTAGCAGTCCCTTTCTATAAAAAAAAATACTAACAATAGTATGACCCAAATATTAAAATAAATATAGATCCACTTACATTAGTATAAATATTTTTTATTATTAAATTAAAATTAAAATAATATTTTTTATTTTATCAATTTTAATTTAAAAATTAAAATATATAAAACGTACATCGTGGATACCTCATTTATTAAAATTATTTGAGTTGATAAAAAGTTTCTTCCGTAGGAAGATAGAGAGAGGAAGTTTCTCTAAAAATAGCAAATTACTTGCAACAATTTTGAAACTAAAGTCAAAGTAAGCAAAAATGGGGACTACCCAAACAAAATGTTAGGCAATCCATGCGTGACAAGCTGACTTTTAAAGGATAAGATGTATCTCGAAGTTACATCAATGGAGATTTTCCATGTCTTTTGCCAGCTGTTAGGTTTTATTCCTTAGCCATGCATCTTTCAAAATTTGCTAAATCTAAAATAGATTCTGATAAATCAATTACTATTATGCTAGGGTCCATGTTTGGACTACATTTTTCTTGTTTATATTATAAGGTCACGAGATTTTTTTCAAGTTCAAAAATTTTGATATTCTGATCATTAGTTTTTGATGATCTCAGAAAATAAAAAAAAAATTTTAATTTAAATGAAACAACTACTCTATTTAAATGTATCTCAAGTGACCAAAATTAAAAAATAAATAAACTAAATATCGAAGTATTTAGTTTTTTCACTTCAGGTATTTCAAATTTCAACAACAGATAGCCGTTTATAGCTTATACATTCCATTGCTCTCACCTGTAGCATAATACTCTTGTAAGAAACAAAAATAAGACCTATTACATAATAAATGGATACATCAAGAAATTCCACCCCACCTTCATTGCAGCCAATTCAACAGGACTATATGACAATCGTTGTCTTTTATTTAATGTTTCACCAACATTAGACTCCACACTTCAAGGATAAGCACCAAATAAATTTCTTACCATGATCTTATCACCAACACCTTATTTTGATCCAGTTCCATATAGAATAGAATCAGTCAAGTCACAGAAATCAACTACAAATCCTCTCCTTTTGTTCCTTCTAGACCTTAAGAATTTCTCTAAAGCGTGAATCTTATTTTCATGGACTTGTATATCTCTAACAGAGTCTTTTTTGGTTGCTCACTGTTTAAGCAACAAATTAGGGATAAGGACTTGCATAAGGACCTAACCGATGGATTGGTGACGAAGATAAGGATTTTGAAAAATGTTATTTATGATAGGGTAGTAAGGTTGTATATCATCTAAGAATTGTATGGGATAAAGCCTCCAACTTGTTTCTCCTCATAAATCACGGCTTGAGCATCTTCTCTTTCCCTTCTCGATGCACCAACTTCCTTTACAATAGTTGCATTATCACTTTTAAGCTTATCATTTTTTACAACATTATTTATTATCTTTTCAGATATGACCATGTTGGTTAAACTTTTAATTACAATTTTTATCATCCTTTTTATATTTTGGAGCTTTAAGAGTGTTGACAAATAAAACTATAGTTTTTTTTTTTATTAGAGGTGGTTGAATCTAAGCAGCAATATCCTTGCACCATTAGACATTTTCCTTGAAGCTCTTTACATCTTTTTTCTCCCATGCTTTTATAAAGGCAATTGATTTAAGGCCAACAAAAAAAAAAACTCCAAAGTATATTTTTTCATTTCATGGGTTGAGAAATCCACTTTGAATCTATTACGTGCTTATATTGAGTAACAAATGCCCTAATCAATTCTTTCTATGAAGTGATACGAGTTTTGTCCAACTGAACATATCATTTAGCAACAAATCTTATAAGATTATTTTGGAATACATGAATCAAAAGCTTGTCTTCACGTATATGAGTAGTAATCTTTCTGTAATATATAGTAACATAGATCACTAGATATTTAGTCCCATCATAGAGTTTTTTACTAAAAATCAACCTCTAAATATCAAATTATGAAAATATCTCTAAATAACATTTTTGTAATTTCATCTGTTTTGAAGTGCAATCAAAACTTTTAAGAGTTTAAATCATAATTTTATTCCTAATTAACCTAGATAATCCTAGTCAATCACAAATTCCAAAGGTTGACCCAAATTTTGATCAAGTTTGATCAATTTTGAAAAAATGACATTTTGGTTATTTTCACTCAAAAATCTATCTTTTTGAATGATTTTCTTTTTAAACATCAAGATTTGACAAACTTAGACCAAGTCCAAGTATTATTGACCTATTTTGACCAACTTTGACTTGATGCCTGTTAAGGATATTTTGATTATTTTGTTTTAGAATTATTGAGAATCCAGTGTCTTGGTTTGATAATTTCTTACTTGTAAAATGCTCCAAATTTGATCATTTTTCAACCAAAACAGACCAATTTCGAATAAATTTGACGAAGTTTAACTTTACGTTGATTTTTTACTTTGTTTTCTTGATTTTTATTATTTTTCTTATATCTATATAAAAATCAATTTATTTAAAAATCTTTAAATATTCATAAATCCAAAAAAATCTTGAAATATGAACGGACAAAATTTTAAAGCATCATTATTAATTAAAATATATCCAAACAAAATTACTTGTCGACAACAATTAAATATTTGATTTAATATTGAGCAAGATTTGAATTATCTTTTTTCAAATAAAAATTACATATTGTCATAGTTTCATCTATTTTTATGAGAAAAAAAGTTTGGATTTTAAGAGTTATGGATTATCAAAGTTCTATTTATAAATTTCAAACTAAATATTATATTTTTTTTTCAAAGACAATACATAACTTTTCAAATAACAGGTATTTAAGAATTAAGTCAGGCCAATTGATCTTTTGAAAATCCTTACCAGGACTCAACTCAATAAATATTTATTAAACCAAGTCAGGACGTGCTATAATGTCAAGCGATTTTTTTCTAGTTCAAAGATTTTGGTATTCTGACAAGGATTTATATTTGATATATTATCATTATATAAATTTTATATACTGTCAATGAATAAGATGATATCATTTCATTAATAAAGTGAATCAAATAATATCACATCATTAATAAGTAAGTTTTTTTTTTAATATTAATTTTTGTATATTTATTTTAAAAGTTGATATTTACTTATTAACGAGGTGGTATCATATGATTTACTAATAGTATATAAATACACTTATAGTGTATCAAACATAAATTCTTCTGACAATTAGATTTTGATGATCTCTAAAAATATATATATATATTTTTTTCTCTCTCTGAATTTAAATGAAACAACTACTCTAATTTGATTTGGACTTTATATTCATTTATATGCTTTGTTTGAATGATTAATAAAAAAAATTTCATCACATTATTACGTCGTTTTGTGACTAAATTTTATTAAAATAAATCCTTAAAAGAAGAAAGTAAGAGAAAATTCGATAAAACTAAGATTTGAGTTCACTTTTTAAAGCATTCTTTGAATATTACAAAGCTGGATTCTTACAAAGTTTAATGAAGTTGTTGTAAACAAAATATCTCTTGACTTGCAAATTTAATGAAGTTTTTTTAATTAAATAATTTCTCAGAGCCAAACCAAGTCTGGACTAGGAAATTTTTGTGCAAAGTCCAGCCTCAATCGAGTCAGACTCATGAATAGGTGTAGTTATAACCATAATAAGTTTAACAAGAATGAACCAAATGTTATAGTTTAATTTGCGAAAGTTAATCAATGCACAATGGTTAAAGAGTTTGATTTTTTTTAAATAAGATCGTAATTTTAATTCTTGTGAATGAAAAAAATAAGTATTGAAAGAATTTATCTTTCATATGAAGTTTGACCTAATTTGATTCTGAATTAATTAAAATATAAAATAATTATCCAACATCAAAGATTTCAGGCAAAAAAAAATTACGAAAATTAAAATCAGATGGACTTGATTATAGTTTAATTTCCAAGGA